ATAGATATATACATATATAGATATAGATAGATAGATAGATAGATAGATAGATAGATAGATAGATAGATAGATAGAGATTGTAAAGGTTTCAGTTGAGGAAGCAAGCCCTGTGGGGGCATTTATACTCAATCCTTAGGCATCACTGTGAGGCAGAATCTACTTGGTGGCACACAACACAATTTATATATACAGATCGACTGTGCCTGGAGCTTGTCAGCCGGAACTCTGTCGCCTCCTCATTGTCCATACCATGCCCCAGTGGGAGAGATCATCAAGTCTACCTGTACCTGGTCCCAAAGGGCAAACAAGTCAGGGGACTCACAGGCCCCACTGACCAAAAGTGGTTCTACCCACATCCCCCTTGGTTGGGATGATAGAGACAAAAGGACACAACAAACAGCTCTTCAGGCTCTGGTACAGTTCTTCCCTCTCTTTCCTCTGAAGGAGTCTGAGTTAGCCTTCAAGATCAAGTCAGAAAGACCAATAGCAGTTCTGCTGAATTCTTTGTCCTTTCATACTTCTGGTGTAACATTTTAATTTGAACTTTTGAGCAGACAAATTCGAGATGCACCAGGGATGTGTTTTCAAGTCTAGTGTGTTGGGATACTTGGATCTAGCATTCTTAGGATACAAGACTGACAAGAAAGAGGCAGAGTTGAGAAGTGAATCCACATAGGACCCTCTTCTGCCTCACCACACCTCCATACAAACACTCACACTCACTTACCCTGTCCGCCGTTGTGTAATATAACCATAAAGAGAATATTGGATTTTATTTCTTACCTTTTCACAAGCATTAGCAGGTGATTGGAAACTGATGGGCAGACATATGTTGTTTTACTGTGCTTCACTTTACTGTATATCACAGATGCTGGATTTTTTGACAAATTGTAGATTTATGGCAAATCTGCATGGAACAAGTCTATTAGCATCAGTTTTCAAATAGCATGTGTTCACTTGGTGTTTCTGAGACACATTTTGATCATTCTCACAATATTTCAAACTTTTGTACAATGTTGTTCCACACATAATAGACTGTAGTGTAAACATAACTTCTGTATGCACTGGGAAAACAACAAATGTGTGTGACTCACTTTATCATGATCTTTGCTTCATTGTGGTGGTCTGGAACCAAACCTGCAATACCAGTGAGAGCTGCCTGTACAAGGCTCTACCCAGGAATCCTAATCCATCACGTGTCCTATGTTGTTCTCTAGATTCCACTGTTAACCACTGCAATATCTCCATGTCCCTCTTTGCAGGGCCGGTTTATGCAGAAATGATCAACAACCTTCTCCGCCCTCTGGTAGAAACCAAGGACTGCACTTTAGTTCGACATAATGTGTTCCATGCTCTGCCCAACACTGCCAACACCCTGATCGGCCGAGCCGCCCACATCGCTGTACTGGACTCAGAACTCTTCCTAGAGAAGTTCTTCTTGGTGACAGGTCTCAACTACTTTAAGTAGTGGCTTTGAAGGAGTAGGCTTGGGATCTTCTCCAGAAACGTTGACCATTCATTGAGAGCTTTACCTGGATCTCAGAGCAGAGTTCACAGAGGAAGCTCTTGGGTGGGATGGGTGGGTCTCACCAGCAGAGTTGCTACCATTTTGGACCTTTGTGGGAGTTGAACAAATAGTATGGAAGACCACACACCTTCCTCGAATTTATCTAGTAACCTGAAATCTCATTCAAGATGCTTATTCTAGGAAATCTATGAGGAAATAAAGGAGAATACTTGGAGTTGGTGAGGTCAACTTTGTAGCCACCATTGGTTCCCAGAGAGGGGGCTACAGTTTAACTCCATGTGTCCAATATGTTACTAGTTCATAGCTTTACTATCATTCTTGATTAAATTAAGTGCACACAGCATTTCAGAACTCAGGTTAACCTCTGTCTGTGCAGAAGTGGAACATATTTGTGTAAATATAATCCTTAATAGATTCAGTGTGCCAGTCATTCGATGTAATGGCCAAACTCTCATCCTCTCTGTTTTCTCAATAGGGAAGACAAGGGAGTGCTTTATAAATCATTATATTTCCTAAAAGCGGTGGAAGGGGGGTGACTGAGGGCAAGGTGGAATGAAGGCGATGATACCATTAGACCCAAATTTGTTACAAACAAAAATAACGATTGGGAATAAGTTGAACCAGCTGCTCCAACTGAGTATCCAGAAATTTTCTATGTATAGTCTTGGTCCATAAATTATTTTTGTGATCAATTAAATTTCTGTCTGAAGTCAGGAAGAGAGACTTAAAATAATGTTAGCAGAAGAGCGCTGAGCTGAATGTGTACATATGTGAAGTTCCTGCTAATCTACTTCCAAAGAAATGCTATATTAGCATTTGATGCAATTGCAAAAAATTATAAAAATAAAACCATGGCCATGGCCAGCTGCTTCTCCTCTCTGTGGATGTAGAAAGGCATCTAAATGGAGAAGTGCTGGATTCAAACCTCAGGGGAGCTCAAATAGGGTGCTGGCTGTCTTTGAACTGGATTGTCTTCTTGCCTTAGGAAAAGAAGGGCTAGGGAAGCTCATTAGAGATAAAGACTAAGGGAGCTTAGCAATGAGAACAACAGCAAAAGCCAAGGGCTCAGTCTCAGTCATTCCTGGGAAGTGACTTAGGGGGAATTTCTGAAAATTACTGGGATGTGTAATATAGTCGTACATTCTGGGAGCTGAGGACTCCTAGAGGATGACTTAGTTGCATTGACGGAACGCATGGACTGAGATAGGAGGGATGACTAACACAGGAGAGTCATCATTTGTGAGTGGGAGCCCCTGCCTCTGCAAAATTCCCCTCTTAAGTTCTGAAATTCATGTGGGACCAGATTTTAGGTCCCAGAACCTGGACCATGACTCTGGGTACTAATGCCATGGTAATAAAACTCAGTATATCTAGACCCATTTTAGAATTTTAGATTCTTTCATATTTGCAATGGGACTTTAAAACATGATTGCATACCATTCATATGGTATACTGAATATACGCTATTGTATATTAATGGTCTCATGTGCAAAAACAAGCCCATATAGGTCACTCTACAGAAGAGTGGTGGTGGTGGTGTGCCGTGGAGTTGGTTTCGAGTCTTAGCGACCTGGTATAAGGTTTTAGAGGCTGTAAATCTTTACAGGAGCAGAATGCCTCATCTTTCTCTCACTGAACTGCTGGTAGCTTCAAACTGCTGACCTTGACATTAGCAGCCCGACTCGTAACCACTATGCTACCAGAGCTCCTTCTATAGAACGGTAGACTTATGGATAAAAAGAGAGAAAGAGAGAGGAAAATGTGACTGTCTTGCAAGGCAGGCTTCCACACTACAATTCAGGGGCTGTCTATAGGGCCTTTCAGAATTGCATTATCGTCTAGTCTTAACATGTATGGATTCAATGAGCCTTCTGGCCCCTTCCCTATTTGGGTATGTTTTGGAGTTCCTGAACTAGTACTGGGTACAAACTCTGGATGTTTAGACCCAGGGGAGATTTGTTTCCTGGTAGGCAAAGCCCATGACGTGTGTTTCCTGGCCTAGACAAGTACCCACACTTAGTGTCAAGACCATGAGTTTGTAGCAACTTGTACTTTTGGCTAAAACATGAGCCCTGCCCAATGGACGAGCCTCATCCCATTTTGTCCTCTGATTCCCATCAGCAATGTACATCATCACTGGTCATTTGAAAGACCATGTGACCAGCGGTTATGGAGCCAAGGTCAACCCAGTGGTCATCGTCTTTTCAAATAACCAGATACCATTGTCAATTCCAACATGCTGTCTGGACATAGTGAGAACTCATGGCAATAAACGTCCAGCTGCATGGTGCCCCCCTTTTGATAGGGGCGTGCTCTGCTGTCTTTGTAAACCCTCTTTGGCCTCTGAGCACTTCCTGTCATTGTGCAGGAAGTACATCGCTATGTTGTAAATAAGAGCATCTGGTCTTGTGTGTCATGCCTCATTTGAAAAGGCTTTTCTATGTCTCTTTGTATTGAAGCATATATATATATA